GGGAATTTCTTTATTTTTCAAATTGAGTAAAAGATACTTCGGTAAATGCTTATCCTAAAGTAAGTTGAAAAGGATTACTAAGACTATTAAATTCTTGATATTTAATATCCAGTACAGTATTTCTAACATTTTTTCTTCAAAAAAAAACAATCAAATTTTATATTGTCTACAGCTAGGTTTAAATGAAATAAAATCAAGATAATTTTGTCCCTGCTGCCAAAAACAGTCTAGGAAAAAAAATCAATATAATCTTGTAACAGATTTAATTGGGGATAATTTGTTCACTAGTTCTTTAGAGAAGTTAAGTGAAGGGATTATTTCTAGTAAATATTTTCTATGCTAATTATTTTTATTCATTATAATTTTTATAAATAATTTAGGTACTGTTGGATTCTTAATGTCAGTCTCATTAATTTAGATTAGATTGCTATAATTAAGCTAGGTTCTGTTCATTGACACTATCTCTTTTATCTAAAGCAGTAGTTCTCAACCTTCTGGCCCTTTAAATACAGTTCCTCACGTTGTGACCCAACCATAAAATTATTTTCGTTGCTACTTCATAACTGTAATGTTGCTACTGTTATGAATTGTAATGTAAATATCTGATATGCAGGATGGTCTTAGGCGACCCCTGTGAAAGGGTCGTTCAACCGCCAAAGGGGTCGTGACTCACAGGTTGAGAATCGCTGATCTAAAGTTTTCTAAACAGCCCTAGCCGGTTTGGCACAGTGGATAGAGCATCAGCCTGCAGACTAAAGGGTCCCGGGTTTGATTCTGATCAAGGGCACCTGCCCGAGTTGCGGGCTGGATCCCCAGTAGGGGGTGTGCAGGAGGCAGCCAATCAATGATTAGCTCTCATCATTGATGTTTCTCTCTCTCTCTCCCTCTCCATTTCTGAAATAAAAATATATTTTAAAGTATAAAGTTTTCTAAACAATAGTAAAATAATTTCTCTTATCTATGCACTTTATTGTTTAAGTTGACTTTATACTTGGAACAACCAAGGCCTTTAGATTGATTATGGATGCACTTTTATGTTTTGTAGTCTTACATATAGAATGCTCTGAATAGAATTTTACATTTTCTTTCCAGTAATCTATAATAAAACTTATTTTGTGTTTATTTGAGATGAGAATTTGGCCACCATTGTGATTCAGTTGACCCTATCCATCCTTATGTATCTGCCTGTTATAGACACTAATGGTGGGTTTCCATTTACTCTTTGTCATAGAAAGCTAAAACTTTGGCCATGTCAATTACTTCCTCTGGATTTGCCGAGTTCACTCCTCAATCCATCCTAAGGTCTGGTCTTCGATCAACACCTTTAGGGTCTCCGTCTCAGTCACCTGGAAGGTCTCTTACTCCTCCATTACGACTTAAAGAAACTAGAATTTCATTCATGGAAGATGGCATGACCACAAAATGGACTTCTGGAGTAAGTTTGATAATATTTGGAACAAAAAGACAGTTCCCACAAGTAAAAAGTTAGATATATCATTTTAATAATATCACTATAGATTTTTGTATACAATCTTGCAGATAGTCATGAAATCAGAAAACATTAGTTCAGAAAGAAACTAGGATATTGCCGAAGGCAAACCCATCATTTACAGGCAGAAAAAGTAGGGCTTACAAAGCGCCAAATAAATTGCTGACAAATAGCTATTTGGTGTCAGAAATGGGACTAGAACCAAGACCTAGTTTTTAGCCCATGTTCGTTTATTTTTTAACCTGTATTGTTTTGCTTCTCTTATTAAGTTCCTAATCGATTGTCTATTTAGGAGGATATATCTTCAGAGTTCCACTGTGGGTTGTTAATAGGAACCCAATAGATGATTATTGTCATCTTGCCTGTTAAAGTCTTGGAAATACTGATTTTTAATTAGAGAAACATTAACAATCATTAAACTTCAATCATGTATCTGAAGAGAATGGATTTAGAATACATGAATTTTGATTAAGATGGAAAGGGTGGGTAATGATTGGCATTAATAGCTTTGAATTGACTGATTTTTACTAGTAAAATTATGTTTCAAAACCTTTTACTTAACAGGCTGCAGATGATAGCAAAACAAAAGCATTTGTGACCAGACCTTTCTACAAATGTGGGATTCCAGGAGACACAGAGTGGCTGGCGAACAAAGATAAGACATCTTTTTCCCTGAATGGCCCTGACATGGGCCATCACGAAATGGACGTGAGGTCAGAAAATACTCCTTCACGGAGTTTGGAGAAACTGGATGTGAGCAAAGAAAACAGCAATGTTTCCACCGAGTCGCTGGAGTACCAAGACGCCCCATCGCCAGGAGAGTTTGAACATGTCATGGCTGCGAAGCCAGCCAGTGCTTCCCCTGGACTGATGACTAATCCAGCTGAAAAGACTGAGAAGGACAATGATAAAGATGTGTTTGAATCAGTAACTCCTCTAGACCTGGAGAAACCAACAGGTAAGAACTCATTTCCAAGTATTCAAAATGGCTATTGATGTCCCTCATTTGTAATAGAATTTTTTTCACGATAAAAAAGCATCGGGGTTAAGTAATGACATGACACAATAAACACATCTTATTCTTTCCACTTCCAATAGGTATGAGATGTGAGGGGAGAAGTACTTGTGTTCCTTTTTGGGGGGAAGGGGAGAAGAACAGTAATGTTTAAGGAAGAAATGTTAACTCTCAGTCTGACTTAAGGCCTTATAGCTATGAGAAATAATACTAACTTTAGATGAGATTGCTATTAATTTTTAACTTATCCAGCAAATCTAAAAAGCTGCTCTAGAACCAGGAAGCTCTTTCTACTCTTCCTCCATCCCTACCTCCAAAATAATCACTGGATGATCAAAATAAATGTACAACGGCCCGCGAATTTATTGTCTTCACTAGAGGCCCCATGCACAAAATTCGTGCAAGAGTAGGCCTTTCTTCCCCCCGCTGCCGGCATCGGCTTTCCTCTGGCACCTGGGACCGGGCTTCCCTCGTAGCCCCGGCTTCGTCCGGAAGGTTGTCTGGAAGGACGTCGGTCTAATTAGCATATTATGCTTTTATTATTATAGTCATCTATCAAAAAAATGTTAAGCCCCTAATGTATGTGCAACAAGTGTGTGTGTGCTGGATGTTGTTGAGGTGAGGAAAGTGGACATGGGCATCTGCTCCCCTGTCATTTAGAGCCTAGGGGGCTGTGAAAACAAACAAGCACTTGTGGTTTGACAGTGATAAGCTAGGGGACCACCAGCAAAGGGAAGGGTAGACTTGGTGGACAAGAAAACTTTTCTTTTTGTTTCTGAACCCTGCACAGTTTTATCAAGCTTCTTCAAAGGTAACTCCTACTTTTAAATCTGTAAAACCAGGTACTTTTATGAAAATCTGGGTCATAGTGATTTCTTTTGGGAAATATTTCCTGCCTGAGCTGAACTAGGGTTTCTGAGTCCAGTGAAGTTTGGGCTATGATGTCACTTTTTTCCATTTCTTTTGGGAAATATTTCCTGCCTGAGCTGAACTAAGGTTTCTGAGTCCAGTGAAGTTTGGGCTATGATGTCATTTTTTTCCAGTATGTGTTTATTGATTTCAGAGAGAGGAAGGGAGAGAGAGATAGAAACATCAGTGATGAGAGGGAATCATCGATTGACTGCCTCCTGCATGCCTCCTATTGGGGATTGAGCATACAACCCTGGCATGTGCCCTGACTGGGAATTAAACCGTTCATGGGTTGATGGTCAACCACTGAGCCACACTGGCCAGGCTGTGATGTCTTTAATAAACAAGCCTTTATTAGTTGCTCTCAGGATTTAGTATTGTTTATAACAGCGTATGTCTGGAAGTTTACATTACTCTTTTCATATAATGTATTCCACTAAAATAATTTGAAAGGTAAGTATTAGGCTCTTAGCTCAGTTACTTAACTAGGTTTGTGATCTGGGATAAGCAGTATAACTATATGCTTGTTTTTTCATCTTTAAAATGGGGATAATAGTACTGCCACTTTGAATATTGAGGATTAAGTGAATTGCATCTAAAACACTTGTAGCAGTGGCTGTTAAGACAAAAGTGAGAAATGGTAGATTAAAGGGGTTGAGGAAGCTCTTGGGCTAGACGCAGAATTAGAAGGAACTGTTGTTGGCAGTCTAATGTCAAAGGAGCGAGCTACACATACAGAGAGCAGACCTGACAACTTGTTGAAAAGTAGAGTCCCAGACCATGAGTAATTGCTAAACATTAACACAGATCATTGTAAATATTCTTAACTGTGGTTTACAGGCACTTTAGAAGATGGAGAAACAAAGGCTGTCTTAGTTGCAGAAGAAGCACTTTCAGTATTAAATCACTCAAGCCCTATTCAAGGGGTTGACACTTCTCTTTGTGTGCCATTAACCCATGAAAGGTAAGTGTTTAGGGGGAAATTTCACATATTAATGTTAAATGAAACTGAACCAGTAAAACAGTCTATGCATAGGTCAACTCTTACTTACATTTTTGACATTCTATATTTGGTAATGTTTTCTGTTATGAAAGAAGTTCATTTGTACAATTGTGTGCTATTTAGTAGTTTTATGAAAACTTAGAACAATACCCAACATTTCCTGAATATATAGAGACATACTTGATGGGTTGAGGTAGAACTCATAGTCTTTGGTGGTCCTATTCTTGTGGAAGACCAAGAGTTTCATTCCCAGTCCCTTCCGTTCTCAGTGGTTTCCCGATGGTCAGGGGTGAGTTTCCCATAGCACCAAGGTGAGCATCGGGAGATGGTGCAGAAGCAGTTTTGTTCCCTACCATTAGATGGATACAAAACTCGAGCCAAGTTTTGTTTTTTAGTGACATGAAGTGTTATGCTCCCACTTAGTTTCGTTTAGCACTTGCACATTTAGGAGATGTGCTAGATGATGTAGGGCAGTGTTATTCAAGTGTGGTCTGATTGATGCCCATTTCCAAACAGTTTATGGCCCACAACAAGATAAGCAATCAGTACAGCCTTCACAAGGTAGGTTAGTTGGTTGGAGTATTGTCCCATCCATGCACCAAAAGGTTGCGGGTTCGATACCCCGTTGGGGCATGTATGGGAGGCAACTGATCTATGTTTCTCTCTCTTTCTCTCTAAAATCAATAAACATACCATTTAGGTGAGGATTAATATACATAGATATATAAATATATATATATATACATACATATATATATCAGTACACCACTTTCTTTGTTGAAAGTTAGCTGAACTAATCAGTGAATTGGTTCAGCTTATGACACAGCTCCTTATTTCATTGCAAGACTGGACACATTGCACATCAGCACTAATAACAACAATGACACCATTGTACAGGATTCCAAAAATGTTGCAGTTTCAATTACTAAGAAGTAGTATGAAGCCCTGGTCTAGTAGCTCAGTTGGTAAGAGCCTCATACCGATACGCAAAGTTGCAGGTTCGAGCCCGGTCAGGGCATATACAAGAATCAACTAATGAATGCATAAATAAGTAGAATCACAAATAAATGTTTTCTCTCTCAAAATCAATTTTTTTAAGAAAATGGGGTGGAAAAGGTAGTAACATTTTCTAAGCTTAACCACATAAAACATAACTTACAACATTATAAATGGCTTTGTAAGTCCTAAGAGTGACTTCATAAAGCACTTACAGAGATCAGCATCATAACAGTGGCCTCTCACACATTCAACTCGGTCATGTGCTTCTTTTCTGAAACAAGAAACCCTGATCAGCTGGGATCTTTGCCAAGCCTTCATGCAAAAAGTGGGAGAAAATAATATGAAAGGATTATCCAGATTGTTTTATTAATTCAAATATTTTTTTAATTTAATGAAAACTAATATTTCCTGCAAATGGGTTTGATGGATAACAATCACAAAGCAAAGAGCATTCACATGATAAGAAACTTTAGTCTTACCAGAGGGTGAGGGCATGAGTGGGTGGGGTGGGGAGGGGCACTGGGGGGAGAAGGACACATATGTAATACCTTAATAAAGAAAAAAAATGTTTAAAAAAAAGAAACTTTAGTCTTCAGTGAGCTAGGTGAATATTCTCCTTCTCGGCAAGCTAGTTCCTTTTTAAACAAACAAATTTAGTTGGTTCTTATTCTTACTATAAACATTGTGATTGAGGTAAGTTTACAAATGTAACTATAAATAAATGCGTAATTTACTTTAATAATTGTGTCTTTCCCGTTTTTAAAAATCAGCATGCTTTAGTTGGGTTTGGCGGAGGAGGCCAGTTCAGAATAGGAAGGATCACTGTCAGCATATTTCCAAAACTTAATTTTATCAAGTGGATTAAATAATGCAGATCCCATTAGTTTTCCATTCTGAGTTATTCCTTAATCTTAGCATTAAAATACTGAACCTCCTCCTGAGAGTAGAGGAAATGTCCAATAATATTTGACAGATTTATTTGGAAAACATGGCCACCAGTAATTAAAAATTGGTATAAGTGCAATTTGTTTCGAGCAACATTTTAAAATCATTTTGCTTGTAATTTAAGGCCATGTCATTATTGCCAATAAAGTGAAATATTGGAAAGTGGGAGAAACAAATAATAGCATAAATTCACATAAATTTTATTGAAGTTCAGAGTGAACTTACTAATTTCTCTGAACCTTGGTTTTTATCAGCAATATGACAAGTAGGAAAGGGAGTAGGATTTAAAGCATATTAGAGCAAATGGGATCTTCTCACAGTCAAATATGTATTTCTTTTTCTAAAGGAAAATCCTCACCCCGAAGTCCAAGGTACCAATTTCAGACGAAGTATCAGTTGAAACCTGCACCTCTACAATTAGAGCAGGTAACGATAAATGTGTGTATTATTTTGACTTAGAATTATTTCATTTTGGTGTTTTGGTAAAGAGATCTATTCTTAGAACCAATGAATCTGTTATCCAGATTTATCTCAATTTTTTATCTCTGGTGTGTATGGTGTCTGAGGTGTATCAGCTATGAAAACGGTGGGTTGCTTGTAATGCACTCTATGATTCTAACAGTGGAAATCTTAGAATGCTTTTTGTGGACTGTTTTCCTTCAAAACATCAAAGAAGAGCAATCTAATTTACCAATCCACATCCAGCCAGACTGCATACCTGCTTCTTAATCTTCTGGGACTCATATCTACATAGGGCAGCTTCCTTTTTCCTGAAATTTTTTTCCATATGCATATTTCCCCCCACACGTTGAAAGAGGAAGGGGAGATAAATATGATCGCTAAAGAGTACAGAGGCTTGAACCAGATTGCTTGGGTTCGTAACTCAGTTCTGCACTTACAGTGTATAAGACTGGGCTATCCATTGTCTGTAAAATATTAATAGCTTTAAATGTTAATAAAAGCTCAATAAATGGTATCTGTTACAATTAACACTTTTTTAAAAGCAAATTTTTTCCACTTAATATGCTTAAGACAATTTTCGTTGTCATTAGTTTAGATTAATCCTGTCTTTTTTAATGGTTATAATATATGTGGTAGTATGGATGTTCTCTGGTATGCTTAACTAATTACTTATTGTTGAACATTTGAGCTGATCACCATTTTTGTTTTGCTGTTTCATTTCTCCAACGAATATTCTTGTGTGTATATATTTGCACATTATATATCAGTGTTTCTGTTGGGTAGATTCCTAAACATGGATTCCTAAACAACGTCAAGGAGTAGGCACAGATTTTTAATACTTGGTTGTTTATGCTTTCAGACACTGATGATTAGAAGGTAGCATGCATAGAAAGAAGCATGCAATGTATTTTCCCATTCCTCTTTGCCAAACTGGTGAAAAACTTTTTTATAAGCAGTCTTTGTATATTAACCCATTATCTGTGAAATGTGTAAAAATGCTTTTTCCTGGTTGGTTGTTTTTGTTGTTGTTGTTTATCCTCACCCAAGGATATTTTTTCCATTGCTTTTCAGAGAGAGTGGGAGGAAGGGAGAGAGAGAAAAATCGATGTGAGAGAGACACATCAAATGGTTGCCTCCCACACCAGACCAAGGTGGGAATGAACCTGCAACCCAGGTACATGCCCTTGACTGAGAATCGAACCCGAGACCCTTCATTGCATGTGGCAGCAGTTTAACCACTGAGGACACTGGCCAGGGCTACACTAACTGATATTTTAATTTAGAATTTGGTATCATTCACAAACACTAAATCCAAATATGGCTTGCATGCACTAATGACAAAATTTTGTCAAAGAGGAAGGTGAAAGAATAAGGAAGAATTTATTTTTAATGAGCTGCCCACCCCCAAGTTATTATTTTTTAAGTGGTGAAGTATATTTGTGGCCATTTGGGTGCTTTCTGCTAAAAGAAAGATATCTATGTAGTCCTTTTCACAGCTTGGTTAAAGCCCAGATTTCATATCCCTCAATTCTGTAATTACTCAACAAGGACAGCTGGTTATCTAAACTGGTGAGTATAATTTTCAGATTAATTTAGTAAGAAACATCTGAGCTCCTCAAAGCATTTATCATATTGATGTTTTACAATAAGTACAAAAATCATATTCCATTTGAGAAAAAGCGGTGATTTTTAAATGTAAAATTTATCTAATGTGTTTTATCCTTGTGAAAAGCACATGTATTTTTTTAAAAAATATATTTTATTGATTTTTTTTACAGAGAGGAAGGGAGAGGGATAGAGAGTTAGAAACATCGATAAGAGAGAAACATTGATCAGCTGCCTCCTGCACACTCCCTAATGGGGATGTGCCCGCAACCAACATACATGCCCTTGACTGGAATCAGACCTGGGACCCTTGAGTCCACAGGCCGACACTCTATCCACTGAGCCAAACCAGTTAGGGCCATATGTATTTTTTTTTAATATATTTTTATTGATTTCAGAGAAGAAGGGAGAGGGAGAGATAGAAACTTCAATGAGGAGAGAGAATCATTGATCAGCTACCTCCTGCACGCCCACACTGGGGATCAAGCCCACAAACTGGGCATATTCCCTGACCAGGAATTTAACGGTGGTGACCTCCTGGTTCATAGGTCGACGCTCAACCACCAAGCCACACCAGTCAGGCAGGACATATATTGTTTAAACTGAGTAATTAGATACTAAAGAAACAGGATTAATGTGTAAATCCTTGTATATCAGTTTTGGCAGTATAAAAGTTTTTCAAGGAAATATTCTAAAGTGCAGGGTAGCCTTTTCCCTCTGTTTGCTTCCCAAATAGTGTATATATTATTTTTTCAGTTTAAAATATGAAAGATGAACTCTCATTTTTCTTTCAGCTATGGCCGATGTCCTTGGTGATAGCGGAAGCTCTGGGCTCGTTACCTCTGAAAGTCCTGTTATCTCTGAACATAGGCTTGACCAGGAAATAGTGAATTTAGAAGAAGATCATGAAATAGAAGTTGATGCACTAAAAGAAAGTGTTGACTTACCAGAAGAAAAGCCTCCAATTTCTGACGATTCTCCTGATACTCAAAAAATTCATGTAAAAAATTTTAATTTTTTAATTCTCTGTCGGTCTTTCTGTTTTGAGTTAGGTTTTAAGCCATAGTTCTTACCTAATGTATTCATTTATTTGATTGTTATATAAAAACCTCTTTATAAAGATAGGTGTTTCAAGATATTTTGTGGCCTATAAAAGAATACATCCTTTAAGTGAGAAATTATTTTTCTGAACCAAAACCAAAAAGCTGTGTTAAAAAAGTCACAATTTTAACAGTTTAATTTTTGCTTAGTATCTGGTTCAAATGGAAGTCCTTTTAGCCATAAGAAAGCACATCCTGGCTACTCCAAAGACAAGTATGACATTGAAACTATTCAGAGCATATATTTGAAAATAATTGAATATAGTTAAATAGATTTTTTTCCCATGCGTACTTATGGGAGAATTGACAGATATACTCCAGGAAGGATTTATTTTTTTCTTGGTACTTAATATGACCTTTGGTTTCTAAAAATTCCAATTCTCTCCTATTATTGACAGGCAACTTTTATATGATAATTGAATTTAAGAAGGGGGAAAAGCAACTATTTTAATTATTTATAGAAATTTGGTTGTACAGTATTTGGAAAGTTTCTTAACTCATAAAATGTCATGGTTGTCCATATTCACTGTGAAATAGATGGACAAAGTCCCTATTCCTTTAGCTGGGAGGCTTAAAAACTCGTGGGCATGGTGTTAGTGGGCATCCTCATTTCTGCGTATTTCCAGTCTGTCATCTCATTGAATGTTTGGGGAATGGGGAATGTCATTGTCTAGGTGGGTGGTAATGTTCTACCTCTTGGTCAGGAGATCTCTCTGTTACTTTCTACCTCCTCCTTTTTCTCCCCTTCCCTTACCAAAAGGTAAATGCAAGGACCATTCCTTCTTCCACCAAACCCTTGCAGGAGAGGGACTGAACTTGAAAGCCTTAGGAATTTCATGGTTTATGCAGCCCCAGCAAAGGGAAGAGGATTGAGTCTAGCCCAAGGGAGCTTATGTAGGTGAACTCTTCTTCAACCTTATGGGGATCATGCTGTTGAGAAAAGTGTGGATAGCTAGGTAATTTGGGGATTATCATTAAAACACAGTTTGGGGGTTATTTCTTTTTCTCCAATTAATTTTTTCTTGGGTGAGAACAGAGTAAGTCCTTAATTCTTCTCACAATTGTTAGCATCATAATAATTTCAAGGTTTTGTTAATTAAAACTGTCTTTTTTAGCCAGGGAAATGTGGGTGTCTACTTTAATTCCAATCAGAATCTCAAAATCTTTTACTGTCTAGTTATTTTGATTAAGAAAGTCTGATTGCTTAAGTGGGTATTTTATAAAGTAAACCCATAAGTAGATGCCATGTCAAAAGTAGTTTATATTTAAAATTCATACATCAAGGGTGAAATGGTCATTTAAAAACATT